ACGCCGGTCTGCTGCGAGGCTGCAGTACTTCCCCGGACGATCCCGCCTATTCTTGCAACAGCCTTAGTTGCTGCTTGTTGGCCCTACCTTAGTCTCATTGGCGGAACTCATTTAGAGATCGTAAAAACTCGTTTTGTTGCATCGCATGTTAAAGGTTCAGCCCGCGTGACTAAAATTTTTCTTCGTATAGACAGTAAGTACACCAGTAAACTGTCTAAGTGTAAAAGCGAACAGTACACTAAACAGTGTAAGGTGTGAAAGAGAACAGAATAAAAATAATAGAGATTTTCGATCGATGATCGTGCCTACAGTTCCATTAACGATAGCACAGTTGGCTTTTAAGAAATTTCCCAGGGGTGGTTGATGATATCTTCGTCATTAGTTTTTTTATTATCATAACGGTTACATTAAGGAAAACTGTCGCTCTAATTATTTCGTGAATAATTTTTTTGTTTGTAAAAATACATATTTACGTACTTGTTGCAGAATGATTATGAGGATTGTATCGAGGTTAAGAAGTTTCTTAAATACACCGAAACTTTCTTTTTATATACGAATTAGAGAATTTGAAAGTCACACAAAACTCTCTGTCCGTGTGTATCGCTGATTAAAACGGCGTTTTCTCACTATGATACGGCCTTCCGATTCGCTGCCAATGTTTATTTGTAAAGTTACCGTAAAACTTTGCGAACGGAAGTTTTTCATCGAACCCGTGTCCGTTTAATTGATGGTGTCCTTTGTTAAGCGTTCACATTTTATTAGAAAGGGTCTTTGCTGCTTGGTAGGCCCTTGAAACTTTCACTAATTTTCTTGCTTAGGGATTTGAAATAAAAATTGTTTTTTAGCATTTCACTAAAACGGCTCAATCTGTTTACATTTTCATATTATGTTAGACTGAAGTTGCATTACTGTGAGTAATACATGAAATCTTTTATGTGATTATGATTCCATTTCTCAGTTGTTGGAGTGCCTCGAAGGAAAATATTTTAAAAGTTTCAGTTTTCATTAAATCGTTCACAAATTATTTAATAGCCACAAACATTTTCTTTCATAATGTTTCAACATTTTGGTGTATCAATTAATAAATCATAAAACACACTGAGCCATAAAAAACAGATTTTATCTATAACGCTGAAACACGACACTGTTTTTCGATAATTAATCGTTCCGAAATGTATTGAGTATTAATTGAAACGCGTTGCACTTTAGTCGGTGATCTTTACTTTGAAGTGCTAAATTTCTTTTAAACTCAACTCCCATTTGAAATTTCTAATAACCGTGGTAACTTCTATGTTGGTTACGCGTTCACACCATTCTTTGTTAACATTAACTGGCCGTGTTTTACTACCTAACTGTCTTTTGCACTGCAATGAAAATATATTTACAAAAAATACCCATCCATGCGATCAATTCGTTTAACGATGTGTTGTCATTTAAATAATCACTAACAATATAATAAGTCTTTTACACAAAAAAGTTTTTTTTTTACATTTTTTTTTATTAAGCAATTGATACTTGATAGTAATAATTTGTTTGTGTATGTCTATATGTGTTAGTTCGGAGTGGGAGCAGTCTCGATTCCGAACTGCAATATAGACTAAACAGAGTTTCAGCGTGAAAATGAAATGAAAATAAACAATAACACATAAAGTTTGGAATTCATTTTATTAGCGCTATGAAAATTGCTTTAACCGTGAACAAGAGATTATTCATTTAAACGGCCGCCCGCGGCTTAACGTTTTTCAATCTCAAAGGCCAAAGTGTCTACTCCCCGACGTCTCCTATTGTTTTGAAATTAAAGCCTTTCACCGTGTTTAAGACACTTTGCGTTTAACGCCTAATTCAATAATAAATACGCAGTAATGGCAAATTAAAAATAGGTAATACTAATAAATAATTGGAACAGTGATGGCTGCTATTTTTATAAGTATACTAGCTCGGGTACAAAGTTTCTTTAAATTAATCTAAAATAAAATTGTAAGTTAAATTACAAAACAAATTCAAGACATTTTCAACCGAATTCAAACACGGAGGAGGTTCTTAATTCGACTATATTTTTTTAATGTTTGTTACCTCAGAACTTTCGATGAAGTGAACGGATTTCGATGATTCTTTTTTATTATTTGAAAGCTGCTACTTCCCATGCGGTCCCGTATTACTTTCATTTGTATTGGATCTTGGGCTCCGGAGATACGTAGGGAAATCCTGAAAATCAAATATAAAATGAATGCAGAGCGAGATATTTGAAGTCAGTTTTGTTTTTCGTTAATAACAAAAAATTACTTTTTGTTTTCTAAGTTTAATTACATTTAATTAAAATGTACCTATTTCCCATTTTTTTTTTTTGATATGTTGTTGCCATCCTTTGTAGTGTCACTATCCAGTTGCTGTAGAAATATTATAATTAACAAGTCCATTTTATTAACCAAAAAACAAAAAATAAGGTACTGAGGTATCAAACATAAAAAATACAGTCGAATTGAGAACCTCCTCCTTTTTTGCAGTCGGTTGAAAAAAGTGACAAGTAATTTTGACATTCCTCTCTGGATGCTAACTTAACACTAACTACACAATTTTGATGATACCTGAACAGATGGTGCAAGACCAGAGCTATATGGTTGATGCATTAACACTTCCCAACCAAACTCTTATTTTTTGCAGACTAGCAAAGATGTGTGTTATTAAGCGTTATTATGTTGAAAGACCACATCCTTTAGTTTTGGATCCACTTCGGCCATTTTTTCTCAATCTCAATATCTTGTTAGAATCCGTACTTGACACTAGAAATCGGAATCGATGTTTAATTCAGGCGATATAAGGTCTTAATTAACGATGCCCCTCCATTCATACGATACACACAGTATCGCCTTATTGCGTGCTAGTCCGGGTTCACGGTCGGTATTAAAACAGGTTGATGCATACAAAATACGAAAATACTTTTTACTATGTATAAATGTTGTACTTTTTTATTTCCGTGTGCGCGTTCATATATCATATAGTACCAGAGATAGCAAATTATAAATATGTTTGTGGACAGTACCAATGAGTACGGTTGCACGCACCGGTCATATTTTCTGAATGAGCTCGGTAAAAGGAAAGTAGCTAAAGCCGATTCTATTTATTCCTTATATATTTGTCTTATAGTGTTAAAGGACGCGAGTATATTGACTGAGAATTGACTGGCCTGAAGTCAAAGAGTTATATCCTTGTGCGTTTCGTCTGACGAATGAGGTAACCAGGGCCCAGTTAATTTTATTTTTATTTTATTTAAAAACTTTATCCACAATAACGTACCATGGTGAACTTAACACCATCAGGTGTTCTCTAGCAGGCAACCGACAAATAAACAGAGGGAATAAGGAGGTGCGAAAGAGCTAGATGAGATAGTATAAAGCATGATAATATATAAAAATATTTCAAACATATAATTATACACTTATACTAATATTTATATAAATGTTATATTTGTCGCAGGATCAACATGTGGCGCTATAATTTGATTACAATCCCATCTATTGGTAGCACGCGGAAACGTTAAGTAGTGCGCTTGAGTAAGGTCGATACAGGAAGTGAGAGAGCGGTCTTGACGGTTATGAGTGGTGGAAGTCAATTGACATCGTTGTTGACATCGTGTTCTGGACGTGCTCGGGCACGCCACTTAGAAAAGGGACGGCGGTGCGAGCGGTCATCTTCCTGTATCCAACTTGCTACGTTTCCATTCAATTACATCAGTGTGTTTAATACTTATGTTCGTTATTGTTGATTGAACAAGTAAACTACAATGCTACGTGATAACTTTTATTTTGTGCGTACAACATGTCCGATGAGGGATCTGACAACGTGTTGTCCTATGTGATCCACCTTATCTCCGACATATATATGAATATATGATACATATAAACATATAGGTACACAAATACATAAAAGTATTTGTGTGCGTATATATTTACTACGTACGTATACTACATATACGTAAATATGGGCGCAAATTTATGTATAATAATTATATTGTGACAAAATATTAATTATATTTAAGATTGATGTTTAAATAACTATTTGTGATCACAAGTTTGGAGTAATAAGAAACATGTGATTATATTTAAGTTTTGTTAGTAGCGCCACCTGTTGACGGACTTTGTAAAGTGGTGTTTGTTTATCAAAATAAATTAGTAATTTGTGTAAAATAAATCATTTAGAGTTATGTAAAATTCATTATAATGTTAATATTGATTTTTGGACTATATTTCATAATTAATTGTACAATAATTTCAATTAATGTTGTAAAGAAAGTTGCAGTTGTTAAATGTTGAGTTTAATGACAGTTGGTTTATATAAAAGGGATTGCAGCTCACATTCAGGCTAGTTCTGTGCTAGAAATCGTCTGAAAGTAAACCAAGTGATATTACGTGTGTGTGTTTTTATTATAATGGAGTCTAGACGCGATATTTACGGCCTATACCCGACATATACCTACATAGTATTAGATATTTTAGAATTATGTCAAGAAGGGGAAATTCAACCAACTCTGTGTTCAACACTGTTTTTTGAAAGGTAGGGAAAGCTTGTTGGAAGGGCAACGCGTTTGTTACCCTATAGGGGCGGCGGTTATCACTTGAACCGCCAGCTCGCTTGCCATGTTCTTACATAAAAACGAACCTGCGTTCTTACTCCTTCGTTAGTATTTTTTTGTAATCGGATTTTTTTATTATATTAGTATTTTTTTTATTTCAATGCATTGCCCTTACGTTACATTCGTATGTTTACAGAATAAAATATTTTATTCATTTTTTCATTGTTATCAACTAAATTGCGCTTTCTCGATTACATTGAACATGCATGCAGACCGCTGTGAATTGTAAATTCAACCGGATGTCATCGTAAATACCGGCCTACGTCTGCCCACATGTATGTACGTGTGCTCTACGTAACTATTTATACACCACTGCGGGCTATGCGGCGGCGCTAGATACGTTGCGAAACCGTCGCCTCAAGTGTGCGGAATGATAAATAAAGACGGCTCGCGTGTTCCCGTTTATAAGGTCCCATTCGAGGACGTGGCAGTCACGTAAGCGCATTGAACGTACAAATGCAATCCTCGCGATATTCGCCGTTTGACTATTTTGCGCCTGTTTCCTCGGTTTGAAATACATTACGATGATGTAAATGCTATAAAGTTTCCGTGACAAAAGGACGCGATGATCGGTGTTCTTTGGTCAAATTATTCGTTCAAAAGTTTACAGTTCAACGCTGCGGAATACGTTTATGGCCATTCGTAGACTCGTAGGCTAGATCGCTACGCCGCGTACACGTATAGTAATATTTTAGTAGTGAGCTACGCGTGATGATAAAACACAATGTTATAATTTGTTTTAGTATTAAAAATGTTATTTGTAGTTAATGTAAATATTGGAAGTTAGAATTATTCTTTATTTTCTTCATTAGGGTGGTCTATAATATATCATCACTACATAGTAAAGAACAAAGTCGACCCGCTGTCCGCTGTCCGTTTGCATATATGCTTGGATCTTTAAAACTAAGCCACGTATTTTGATGCGGTTTTCTTTAATAGATAGAGTGATTCAGGAGGAAGGCTTATATATAATTTATACTTAATATAGTAGAGAAATACTGATAATTTTTGAGGTTTCTAATGCGATGTCGAAAACAAACATTCAGCATAGCACCCGTGCGAAGCCAGGGCGGGTCGCCAGTATGTTATATGGTTCAAACTTCAATAAATATAAATAATTATTGACATTAATGGAACAACGTCTCACTTTGCATGATTAAGGAAAATAATTTTGTGGGCAGGGAATGATAGGTTTTTAATTTGAGAATATACAGTTGCTTAGAGCTTAGCCGGAAAACATGGTTGAGTTGAATGAATGAATGAATATTTATTTAGTTTCAACAACAAACAGAGTTATCTAAACAATTAAAAGAATATAAATCTAAGACATGAAATCAAATAGGTATAATAATAAAATAATGTACTCGGTAAGATTTCCCGATTTTCAGTATATACAGAGTTGGGGCTTATGAATGAATCTTGCCAGTAAAACCTTGATCGATATCTCTGTCTCCCTCTTTCAGCTGTGTTTGTAGGTAATTCTTTTTCAATTCTTCCATCTATACAGTTGTTTTTTTTTCCATTCACCGCAGCCGACGTTTATATAGTTTCGGATCGACCTGTGATGTATTTTCATTAGATTGGTGCGACTACGGAACGAGGTCTATTTCCCGCTGCGAACATATACCGGAATTGAAACTGACGAGCTTAGTATGTAAGAAATACGGCGGGAGGAAAGGCTCTAAAGGAAGCCATCGGAGCGTAAATTCAGTACGTACCTACTTCATTAAAGGGTCCGGCAGCGGGCGGTCTCATTTCTTTCACATTTATTTCCCGTGTACCTAGCGTCTAGTGTTGTTGATACCGTTAAGCGTTTCGGAGGTGTTTTAATTTTTTTTTTTGCATGACTGATGTTACGCTTTCATTCCTTAGACTATTAAAGCTTCATCGTACGCATCAACCGGTGGGCTAGGCAGAACCCACGGACTTGAGGCCCTCCTCGGTGGGTAGGGCCGCGCATGTAGGCGCGGCCATAGAGGAGGTGTTCTAATGCTAGTCATACCGGTCCGTCTTCCTTGTGGACATTATTTAAACTTTCTTACTAAAATTTCATTGAATATGAGACATATGCTTGCATCATATTATTGGAATTTTTGTACGAATGTTTGCGATCATTGGATTCTAGAAGTCGTCACCGTGCGCCGTCACCAATATCCCTTGCTGTTGATCATTGTAGTCGTTACCTACTGAGTTGATATCTTCAATCTTAGCGCTTAGTACTCGTTGCTGGTAAGTTTCGAGCTAAATAGTGGCGTTTAAGTTACCTGAATCTATCACCGCAATCGCCAATGTTGACTCGAATTTGACAATCGCTATAATAATTTTTGACTATCGTTATATATGTATTTCTCTTCTTCTAACGCGGATTCTAATCGTGGAGGTTGTATTAATGTTTTAAAAAAACTGATCTGCCGAACGAGAAGTGATTCATTCGTTTCTTTATACAATATAATTCCCATTTGATACGATTACGTATGCAGATTGCTGCTGATGCGCATCCGGTCAATCATCATTCCCATCGCAACGATCTTGGTCCCAGATGCGATTGGTACGCGAACAAAGGTGGCCGTAAAACGGAACGCACCTGGTTTACAGTTTGCGGAATGTAAACGGTCGCGGCATGCAAAGTGGCTGTAAATTTTTTAGGACGGCATCCGGCACTATCGTTGCTCGACAATAATATTTCGATTGCCTCCTTCCGTCGCTTTCTATTTTCCCCATTATACACGAGGTAGCGATAGTCCAGCAGGTAGCATGTCCTTTCAGTGATATTAATCACGTAAAGAGCACTGGCCAAACAGAGAGCAAAAACTACTCGATGCAGTTTTTCGCTGTCTATGCCGTTTTGATTAAATGAATTGAGGGAAGGACCTTTCGGAGGACGAAGTTCGTTTATGTTCTGTGTGTGAGTGTGTGTCTGTCATGAAATGAAAACGATATAAATTATGTGTTGTGTGAGTGATGAAACGAAGACGGAATTAACACTTTCGGCTTCCAGACGTGCCCCGAAATATATGCAGCGAAGGAGGCGTCGTGATTCTCGCCGAAAAGCGAGACGCGTACGGGCGAAGTTTCGTGAGTGAGGACGATCTCAAAATCCCTCGCCGGGAGCGGCATCAAGCGCATCGTTTGTTTCTCTTAAGTCGTTTTGCACGGTCGTGGGGAGTTGTTGCGTAATTCTTGCGAGAATTTACGGTTCGTAGACGGCAATTCACTTGTGAATAAACATTTAGAACTGAAGAAATCGATTAGCAAGTTCGTTTTGAACTAGAACGATTATTCGCTTAGAGTGTGAACGCTTTAAGCGGTTTTTTTTTTATTTGTTAACTTATTAGTATTATGCGAATATAAAATTACGGTTACGATAGTTGTTTACATCAACATTAAAATGGTAAAATTTTTATTATTTCCTAACAAATCCTTGAGGCGAAACTATGTATGTCCCTGTGCCAGTTTATCTTATACGACGTATGCTCGAATACGCGAAATGTGTTTCAGCGTTATTACGAAGTTATAGGGTCAACTAAATATTATGTTGGTTCATACGACTCTACCGTGTTACGTCCAAGGTAAATGATGCGAGATGAGAGTCTCGGGTTAATTACACCCTCGTGAAGTGACTGTATAAATTCCGCCGAAATATACAATAATTCTCACCGTGCTATCTTTTAAAATATCCCAACTTACAGCAGGCGAAACAACTTGGCGGCGCTTAGTTTTAGCGCATTTTCTCGGAAAACTTGTAAGCTGTAAAACGTCTACTTATTAAAGTGTAGTACTGAGAGACACGTTCGCATCTTAGACTTGAAGGGAATTCACCAGAAAATAACTCATTAAACGAGTAGGGAAAACAACTCCGCACGTTACAAAGAACACACGTCCCACTTACGGCCATTTCTTGGAATTCAACGTGGTATGAAATTAATGTTGAATTCGTACTTTCCGAAATGTGACAATGTTTGTCATTTATTAATTATATAAAGGAACGAACTAGAAAGTTCCACTACAAATGTATGCAACGGTAGATACAACTACTCGTAACGTGTGTAGATTGTAGCATAAACTTATTATAATTTTAAGTCAGAACTTTCAAAGACATAATTTTTTTTATTTTAAATTTATTCATCACGATTCCATGTCACGTTTATTTTATCGTGGGGGAATTTCTTATTGATATGGAACAAGGGTGGGAAGTCGGTGACCTCAGACTCGCACCGTTTAAATCCACACGGCGGTGACGGGATTTACGTTCGGATCACTGCGGCGACCATTCCTTTGGCTTGGCTAGTACAGTCCCGTCTTGGAATCAGAACTGTGGAGACCACTACTTCTGCGACCCCGGAACGACTATGGCCTGTTTAGGCCTCCTCTACTACATGGTGCTGTGCCGGTGCAATCGGCACAGCAAACGTCACGAGCCCCATATTGAGCGACAGATTTTGATCCTGGGTAACCTCTCCAGTGCATGCGATGCAGAGTCGTGGTCTTACACACAGTGGAGACAGGTCGCCGCCGCCTCAACTCCGATCTTACAAGCTCTCACACTAAAGCATCCATGCCCGGTAATTATTAATGTAAGAGTATAATAATGCTTTAACAACGTGGTTATTTATTTATTGCATAGAGTTATCTTTTCAATTTCTTTTCATTTGATGGAATTGAGCACCTCTTCTGACTACTTTGACGGAGCGCCGCTTAAGCATTAATTACTAATATACAGTACTCCGTACTATATTAAATTAAGCTGTAAATATATTATCCAAAAAGAGGATTGTGACGGCATGAAACCATACAAATATATAGTAGTATGGGCATAGGAAGGTCTTAACCAAATTTTATTTTCTAAACAAAAAACAGCACGGCGACACGGCAGCTGAATTTGACGCGCAAATAAAATTCTCCTAAACGCGGCAATAAAATCGCGAATTAACAACTTGTGACGGTCCAGGTACCCACCCGAGACGCGGGTGGGCAACATTAAGGATTATTCCGCAGGCAATTCACCGTCCCGGGACAAAGCAATTTTTCCCAATGAGAGCGCGATTTAGCTTTAATATCCACGGACTACGGTCACGTGTGAACGATTGCACCGAGCAAGGGTCAGTGGGGGCGTATTAGAATCCTGTGATAATTTACTTACCCAGTTTATTCTGTTGGCTACTGCTTGTCGGCCGCCAACGATATCTTGACCCTGACTGACTGTTCATGATATTGTTTCATTATGCTGTAGCTGATCCCTTCAGGCTTACGGGGCGACATTCGTTGCGATTCATTTGGGCGGCCGCCTTCTTACGTCTAATTGGGCAGAATTCGTGTAATGTCAGTTTCAACTACGCTACTCATTTTTAAAATCTTTATTATGATTTTGCGTTTTTATGATTATGAAAACTATGGATTTTGTCCACAGTACACAATGTGGGATACATTTCATATTATTAACAATTATAACCGAACATACATAAAAAAACCATAAACATCCGAATTTGTAACCTCCTCCTTTTTGAATTCGGTCAAAAAATTGTATAATTACTCACCTTATAATGTCTTTTTGACGATTTTTAGGTTGATATCCAACTTCAGACAAATTCTTCGAACGAAAAAAAAGAAGAGTCAATTTTCTTTTTCAGTTCAGTCTTCAAATCCTTAACCTATGTTATACAGCGTGTCGTTACCATCGCGACTATAAATGAACACACCTATAACGCTACTTGCCAATAATCATAAAAAAATATTAACGTTAAACAAAATCCATAATTAAAAAAAAATATTTTTCAAACAAACTAATTAAGTAAAAAAGAATCAAAATTTGTAACACCTACAACTCGCGCCACCGCGTGGCATTACAAGCCTCTCCTTCTAACAGTATGTTTTGTCTCTTTTAAATTCATTCAATCCATTCATATGCTTTGTGACCTTTACAAATGAACTTTACGATACAGTTTTATACGAAAGGATGTTGTAAAATTCTTTGTTTCGGAAAATTTAATAACTCTGTAAATATTGATGTTTAAAGAATGTAAATGTCTTATACAATTTAAAAACGTTATCCCCTATATGTGTGTTCATTTATTGTCGCCATTGTAAAGACACGCTGTATATAGGTCTTATTTATTGATGCACTTGTGATTGTTCTTGCTACACATCGTCAAGTGCCACTCCCAAAGGTCAAGTGCCAGATCGCCATCGCAGAACCAATCGAATCGACAAAGGAAACGGTCTCCGAAGTGATTCGTAATACTCGGGCTAATATGGCCGCGAGCGTCCCGCGCGACAACGCTCGTTCGAACGTAGCTCGCAGCCGTGATAGCCGACCGATACAACGCGCTATTTTATTCGCGGACACGCTCATTATGCGCCGTTAGCGTTATCGTGCGTTATTTGCGTTGAGCGCGACGTTATAATTATTTCTAGCGCGCCCAACCCTATCGGATTCGACTAAATAACCCTAAAACGGCGCTAACGAAATACGTTTGCGCTCGATGCGGGTGAAATATTTTGCGTTTGTTTATTCGGTACCGCGTCGACACCATGTTTGCGAATCGTCCGATTGTTTGGTCTGTTGAATGATAGCATGAGTTGTAACAAAAGTAGTACTAGTACAAGATTCATATTGTTTTTTAATACTTACCTAGCGACCCGCCCCGGCTAACACTAGTGAAAATATTATATATAATATATAATGCTTTACCTTGAATCACTTTATCTCGTAAAAACCGCGTCTTCACCAGATGATAACTGGTTATCACCGCTCAAGGACATTTAGAGCGGCTGTGGGTTAGGAGATGTGCTGCCAACTTTTAAAAGATCGGGCCGCGATTGCCTCACTGAAGAAAGTGTAACACTTTCGTTTCGCACTGGTGCTTTGCGGCCATGATATTTCTCCGAGCGAACTTGCCCATGCGTGCAACAAAAGAAGATTCTCCATGGCCTTACCCACTATTAAAACGCTTTATCGTTGGTTATATTAATTCCTAATTTTGTGTTTAAATGATAAAGGTGACAGTCAACAATTGAAATATTTAGGACAACATTTAGACATAACAGCTTGCCATGTAACAGTATCTTTAATTCTTTAGAGACTTGTATAATTATTTCTATAACTCATTTTTTCATAAGCTACTCTTAAAACGTGCTTTAATCATCGATCAGATCGCCTCGAAAGCGCAATCGAATCGGAACCGACGGGCTATAAATCCGAAAGAGACGGTACGATGTTCCCGGTGCCAGGACACAAATGAGACTGTGTTCCCGGGACATAAATAACCCCGGAGAGCCGCGTCCCTAAACCCCGCGGGCTCTAATGAGTCCGAGAGGAGTCCCGTGCCGAAATTGAAAACCGCCCGCGCCGATAAACCATTTGTATTCAAACGCCAAGCGCCGCGGCGCATTTTAATTTACTCACTCGAATTAAAAGTGCGCGTGATCGGAATAACGCGGCGTTTCCTCCTTCGACCCCCGAGCTAGAGACCGGGCGTTGATCGACGACTACCCGATGCTAATGTACGGGGCAGGTAAGATTTTTCACTCGGAATATTTTTCAGGGTTCCGTGCCCAAAGGGTGAAAGGGGCCCTATTACTAAGATGTCTGTCCGTCTGTTACCAGGCCAGGTATCTCATGAATCGTGATATTTAGCCAGGTTAAAACATTTAAGCGGGGCTCTCCCATACAGCACACATGATTTTTTGAAGTTTTTATATATAACGTTACAGAACCCTTCTCGCACGAGTTCGACTCGCCCTTGGCCGGTTTTAAATAGTCAAATTAGTTAGTTTTTTTTTTGCATAATTAACACAATATGAAAAAACTCATAATAACATATAAACACAAAATTTAAACATATTTTCAACCTAGATATTTTAAAACGTCACACGTCAAATTTTATATATTTTTTTTTTCGATCGGGCAAAGATGAACGCCAATCGCGAGCTCAAGTGCACGGTGCGAAGTCGGCGGCCCAATTAATATTCAGCAGTTGGCGGCCGCGTCTAATGAAATTACCACAACAAAGCGGCGGCGGCGTCGCTCGGGATTGCCTCGCTAATGTAAACATCGAAACCGAACGATAAAAGAGACGGTGCCAATTAAAATATGGGCGCAGGCAGGCGCCACCGAACTGAGGACGGCAGATGCGGCAGCAGATTGATTGAGGCGCTAATAAACTGTGCAAGCTTCACGGATGCACGGGCGAGTTTCGTCTCGAAACTTCGATTATTAATGTAGCCACGGTATCGATTTTGTACGTTAAGAACTCTAAACCACTATTAGTCAACTATTTCATAAACAAATTATCAAATTACTCAGACCATCGATTTAAATAGCTTGATATATATAAACAGATTATCACGTTACCCGACACGTTAATCGACCATATTTTATAGCTTTATTTAAATAGCTTGTTTCGATATATTGTACGTTCGTATTACAACATTGAGTTTGACTCACAAGTTTATTTAGTACACGGTAATGGGGAAAACGAATGTGATATGTGTGTACAGGACAACGTCTGTACAATCCGTCAATTTTCCGAACACTATATGATGTTGGCAAAAAGATCTCCAAAGATTATATAAATTAACGTTGTTTTTACATTAAAGTCACATCTTCTGTGTGGATGATTCTTAATATCGTTTGAAACAATATCGTCGCTAATGACGTCACACATATCCCACACATGTTGACTCAAAACTGTTATTACACTGTTCTCAGGCCTCACATTGCAAACAACATCAGACGCGTAAAAGATACATACAATGAATTTTACATTCGACGATATTAAAAACGAAACTGTTGGCTTAGATAAAAGTGAAATGATGAAGGGTGATTTATGACCCCGACTCAGCGCTGCTCCATGGGCGGTGTGTAATTAGATTTCCCCGGGCGTCATGGAGTCGAGTAAACACCTTGGAGGCATCAGGTGGTGAGCGTGGCACAGTAATACTCTCGTCAGCTAAGTATACAACCCCTATAAAAGATTAAAGAGGGTACGCCACCGTATCGCGTAGTGCGCGGAACGGAATTAGCCGCTCGGAAGTTGTGAGAGCGCGTCCAACTTGTGTGGACCCCACTAGACGGACTTTTGTAGAGTCAATTGAGTTATAGACCGGTACCCGTGAGGTATTACTGCTATGCTATGCGTGTTATTAATGTCGACGGGAATCTTTTACTCGGTTCGTTAAAAACATTGAAAGCTAAACAGGAAATTTTTATGACACGGCATTTTAATTCACTGAAACCCGTAAAATGTTGTAACGTAAATAGAAAAAAACTATTTACTTATGTATACTAAAAGTGTATGTAATCTAAATATGTTCATAAATAAAGTAGACGTTATTCAAACATTTTTCACGGAGATGTATTGCCAAACAGGCGCCTCGCGTTATTCCACGGCCCAACTTTGACACCTTATTGTCTCATGCAATATGCATGATAATATCCCCATCGCGTCGGAAAAACTCTAAGGGGGGGTTGCCCCCGGTAATTGGTGAAAATCAACCCGCGCTCCCTCATCCCTATCGGCGGCGGATCTACCAAAAATATACATCAGGCAAAATGATAACTTTCTCGCGTTTAAAGTAAAATGCGTCATAACGCCCGAGCGTCAGGGTTCACTTTTAGATGTGTCTCTGTTTTGACCGGTCGGATTACAAGTTGCCTCGTCGTCTTACTCGTTATTTAAGCTACGTTTCCCAAAGCCGTAATGCTGAAAATTGCGTTGATTTCGCTGAGACTGTAATATTACATGTACATTCACCTTAGCAGATCGACAAATCTATGCTATACTTAACGAACTTAACCCATCCTTAGACATTTCAACGCTTGGATTTGTTATTAAAGCAATCTGTACAGTAAAGAATGAAAGCACAATCGTTTCTTTTATGTTGAGAAAATCGTTTATTATAATTTTCTGTTAGAATTTACGAAGAAGTTTAGTTATAACAATGTTTTGAGTTACTACGTACATAAATGTGCAGTCATTATTTCAAACGACTAAAACAAGTGTAGTTCTCTGTGGAAATATAACATTTTTAGTTTGACTTGACGTATGCGGAGCGTACGTTTTGAATATAGCACTTTGAAGTAATATTGTTTATGATAAGCAGAAAATCTTGTCACGGCGGGAGTCACTCCATCAGAATATATGTAAATAGTACACAGAGCTCGCAATGTTGGTGAGTTCATGAACGTGACAAATACGGTCAAACCGTTTTTCTTTTTTTACTGAGACTGCTGAGTCTTATCATAGTAAACGATTTCTTACATTTACATTAATTTGTTTACAATCAACAAAACACTGGTCGGAGGAAAATTATATATTAATACCCAACTCACTTATTTCAGTAATTTTATTGTTCTTTTTTCTTCGTTCAAATAATATTCATGTTGATGAAAACGGTCGAATAACATAAGTTGAGATATGAGCTAAAATTTATAACAGTATCAAACTTTTCTTAAAAGATAATATTATTTAGGAACGGTAAAATAGTTTTATAACTACATATACCGATTTTAAGTATGAACTTTTAAATAAGGTTAGGTACTGTAATAAATTCTTCACTACATAGTATAAAACAAAGTCTTCCCGCTGTCTAATCTTGATGCGTTTTTTTTTTTACTAGATAGAGTGATTCAAGAGGAAATTTTTTATGCCTAATACTTGCACCCGTGCGAAGCTGGGTGGGGTCGCTAGTATCTTTATAATTAGCAACGTTTGCTTTAGTGGACTCAATTTTAAAAAAGAACCTCAAGTGGTTGAACGGCTCTACAGTGTGTCACGATGACAAACAACGGGGACACCCAGTGTACGTTGTTCCTTAGCGCCCATTCGTGACTTTGCGTTTTTATTGTCGCTGTATGCTCTCGTAAATGTAGTCATTCTTCCACCATTCCGGAAGAACGTGCTTTACGTCGCCGCATTTATCCTGTACAAACCGCCATGCATCACTGGGTCGGAACGTCTACTGATGAATTCGCCTATCTCGTCTGAAGAAGCAATGCCGCTAAAATTCGTCGTAGACTATTAAAGTAACAACAATGAGGAAATATATATATGCTGTCTATCGTTGGTTCACTTTTGTTATATTGTATAATTTTTGTAAATGTGTAGTACAATATGATTATAATTATTATTAGTTCTAAGTATATATTTCAAAGTACATTCATCACTGGTATATGTTGTTAAGAGTGTATTCGTTGTGACATCTGTCATTCTTTGTGTTTCTTAACAAAATAAATTGATGATACGATATCACTAATGAAACGTTTTTTTTCGAATTTAGTTGGTGTAACCCGTTATAAGAAATCGAGAATAAAATTTATCGCCAATAATTTGCGAATCTTAACGTTGCGTTATTTAATATTATGTAAAAGTTCGAAATAATTGGTGATAAAGTTTTCGTTAACACTTTTAGTTTTAAACACCAGCCACTAACGATCATAGTTTCATTATGATGATTGGCATCAGGTTTTATCAATGACCAATTATATGAGCGAGGTGTTAAGGTTTCCATTGACATTCTTTGAAAATATTTTCTCGGGCTCAGTTTTTTTAATTAATACTTAATAATATAATTATTAAGGTGGTATGCGGATTTGAATAAAGAATTGTAATTAAACCAAGTTTAAATCTCCTACGAATAGTTATTCGTAGGTGATTTTTTAACAAAATAAATTTGACAATTAACAAATTGTCAAATTTATTTGAAACATTTTAAAGCAGACCTGAAGATATTGGCAACACTTGAGCATTCTACACAGAATAAAATACGCCCAAGTAAATAAAGCAGCCTGTGTAAGGAAAGCATCTCGTCATTATTTCGTTTATATGCATACATTGTCGGCCGTCTCTGAGGTTTATGCTCCACTATAAAATATTTTAATGCCCTCATCTCAGAGTGCACTTTGCTTTAGACTACCTTTATAACCCACTTCAATCGATGAGATAAAGGCGATATCATTGATTTTGTTTTATACCCTACGAAGCTTTAGTGCACGTACAAGATATTGTATTGAGGCTTATCGAGACTTGGTCACCTGGGTTGTTTCATTTTCTTTATGAATTTATATTTTTCTTTATATTACTTAGGTTTTTTTTTTTTAGTTTGAATTACACTAGTTTTTTGAGTGTGAAATTTGGACACATTTTTTGTTTACTATATTTGGTTAGCGTACAGAAAAAATTAATGTATCTTTTCCCTATATAAGTAATATAGAGCAAAGATAAATTCAGTTTTCTCTCATAAAAGTTGTGTTTCCCAAATAAACGTCCCGTATCATGTGGGGGTTCGGAAATATTGAGTTATGAGATCCTTCGGGAGTCACCAGATACGTCATAAATACTCTTAGAATCGCGAACCTCAAAGACTAGTCGCCTCCTGCACGTACGCACGTCGACTCGACGTTAATTGGCAATTGCGTCGTTCAGCGTGCAAATGAGAGAAATTGTAATGGTTTAAAGCAAATTTCGTAATAATCTCGAACTAAGCTCCCACCCTCTCTATAAAATCTCCGGTGCATTAGCCAAGCTATGCAAAAACCACATAAACAGTCAACCTCCCTTTATGTTTCATTCGATGCGAGCGCCGTCCTTACGAGCGTTGCTATTTTGCTGTAAACTCGCTTCTTTTGTTCGGTAAAATGAGAAAGTTACCCGTGCGAAGTCTAGTTCGATTTTGTTTCGTTTATTTTTATAATGCGATACAATTTCAGTCTTTAGTAACTTCCTTAGGTTTTACCTATTATAATCTGTCAACAAAGTGTTAAAGTTTTAATATAAAAATGGTTTTATTGTACACTAAAATCTTCTTTTTATTCATTAATTAATCATTATTAATTTCATTTTTAGTGTAGGTCTGCACTCAGAATGAATTCTTTGTAGACAAATATTCGAAAATTTTTCTTAATTTTTGAATCCCATACATGATGCATTCTCCGGCATAAAGAAAAAAAATATCCCCAAAAAATCACATTGTGAGTTTATGCTGTTTAGTTTAGATATTTAAATATACGTGTATGTGAAACAAATCAAAATAAAATACATGTCGCTCCGTAGATATCGTTGTTGTAAAACAGGGATTTTACTGTGTCGATCATCGCATTAAATTGACTTCAATGAAGACCACATAGCTCGTGTGTCACGGCCCCCGGGGAGGGCTCTATTAGTTTCATACGTCGCATCAAATTTACGACCCAATCGCTGTTGGGATGTGCGAAAATGTGTCCACAGTGCAGTTGTTTGTGGTATCAGTGGCTTGTTACATAATTATTCCACAGTGTAGCGCCGTCCGGTTTAACTTGCTAATGTTGTCATAAACATTCCGTTCGAAAGTCTTTAATAGAATGGTGACCATTATTATTTTCCTTCCTTCCTTCCTTCACTTCATCATCATCATCATCATCATCATAATTTCAGCCTGATTGAGTACACTGCTGAACATAGGCTTCCCCCATAGACTGCCACGAAGTACGATCCTGAGATACCTGCTGGCTTACACTAAAAAGCTTGCAGGTCATCACTCCATCTAGTACAAGGCTGCCACTCGAGAACATTCTTCCCCAACGGCTATCGGTTTTCTTCCCATCACTTATTAATCATTATGACCCAAAAAAATTTATAGACAAACCCATCTGCAATTTTATTGCGTCCGTTGAAAAACTGAATACCCCAAGCTTCGTGCAGTTAAATTCCTCGTTCGGGCTCCATAAAGGCAATGATTATTTTTATTCATCCCCCCAGTCCTCGATAAAAAACTGAGAGACACACATTACAGTGCAGAGAGCGTACGCGATTCATATTAATGCGGGCTATTAACCACCGAACGCTCGATAAATTCCCAAGGGCTATAGAATAGCGATTTATTTACGTATGGAACGGTGTTCCGCCGTGAAATATCGCCAACGCCTACTTCTCGTATCGGGACTTCGCGAAATTGCTGTCTTATCGCGTGATGATATAGCGATGCCGCAACAAAGTTCTGGTGTAGTGGAGAAGCGTGCTTTACCACACGTGCAGGCGCTATAGTTATATGTTTTAATTTACGTATTGGCTTGAAAACGTGACTACGGTGCCGGAATGCGGATCTTACTTGTTCAAAAAACATTGAAGTGAAACTTTACTATACCTGTTTATTTAACGCCTGCTTCTATATTAAATAATAAATAGATTCTAGGAGATATGGATTAACTGACTCAAGTATTCAATAAAAACTGATACAAAAATTTCAGTTCTATCTTCTTCATGCTTGCTTCTTTCTTCTGGCCTTTCCCCACCTAGGTTCGTTGAGCACTTATTGTGAATCATGTTTTTAATGGTATTGGCTGACATCAACTCTCCTTGGAAATAAACAAACAGATCTGGAACAATTAATTGTCTGTTGGTCACGCCAATATTGCGCCCGTGTGGGAAATCGAACCCACGTCCCCGGCGCCGGAGCCACCGAGTGATATCCTCCTCCATGTCGTCCCTATATCCCGTGTTTAATAACTTAGGCTTACATTGCATCGCAAAATATCGTTGTAATTTCAACTGCATGTCTCAGTCGTGCTAGGAGATAATCGCGATATATTGAAACTAGCGGAGTTTGCAATATACAGCTCTCAAGAAGGGGCCCTTCTAACCCACACATAATCAGATAATTCAATCAATTAAATCAGTGTAATGGTAGTAACCTCTCAAACCTTTACTGACAAGCGTAGTTTTTAAACAGCGTTTTTTTATATAGATTTTTGCAATAGCAGATCACGACCGACGGGGGTCCCTTTGATGCATAGAACTTTCGGTACTTTTCGTGAGATCGTAATTTCATGGATGTTTCGGGGTACCGAGCGACGGGTTCGTTTAGTTTTTTTTTCTCCGCATCTCGCATCAAATCTCCTTTGAGGCGGACCCGCATTGTTTGTCGGCCATTGTTGGACGCTTGTTTATTTTTCCACCTTTTTGCCTGCCCACCATTCATTAGCGGCATTCATGGAAGTGTCGGCTGTGAGCGGAGCGCCAGCGGCTTGGTGACTTGCGCCAGTGATCTTTTCGCTTTTTTGTTCGTTTATTGCCTCCATTATGAGGAGTCGCCATTGAAGGTTGTTCAACATTGCGATCACGTAAATTTAACTCGGCCAGCCATAACAATGGATTTTACGACATTCCTTTTTTATTTGAAAATCAGGTTTCTGTTCCCTTCTGAACTAAATTCTGGATGATTGTAGTTTAATGTATATATAAAAGAGTCAGTGAGGTATTTTTATTTACGAAACGCAAAGTTAAACTGGTTAAAAATGTAAAAATAAAAAAAACCAGATAGAATACGTTGAGATTTTCCTCGGTGTTATATAAACCGTTTAGCTCAGTGACTAGAGCGTCGGGTGCGTATTTTCACTTCCAACTTCATTTCCGACTTTAAAAAGGAGGAGAATCTCAATTCGACTGTATTTTTTTTTTATGTTTGTTACCGCAGAACTTTCGACCGTGTGTACCGATTTTAATGATTCTTTTTTGATTTGAAAGCTGGTGCTTCCCATGTGGCTCATATTGCTTTCATTTGTATTGGATCTTGGGCTCCGGAGACATTTAGGGAACTCCTGAAAATCAATTGTAAAATGAATACAGAGCGAGATATTTCAAGTCCGTTTTGTTTTTCGTTAGTAAAAATTGACTTGTGGAGGACGCAGGTTCAAAATCTCGCAGCGGCAAAAAAACTTTTCGACCATTTTGCCACAGAAATTTTAAAAACTGCATCTTAAACGCAGATACCTTAGAAGAATAGTACTAAAAAAAAATAACATATTTAAAAATAAATGCAATGTTCTATTATGTTTATATATCTAGCCTTAAAGTTATAAAGACAAAAGCCATGCTTTCGTAAAAATAACAACTTTTTGAACAAAAATATATGAAATACAAGAGAATCTATATGAATATATGAAATAAAAAATTTCATATAAATATATCAAATCAAGAGAGAGATTTTATGCGTAAAATAAGTTTAGTTCGATAACTAAACTTATTTTACGCATAAAATCTCTCATAGATCAAAGTTCGCCTGCAAACTGTGCAGAAAGAAATTCACAGATTCGATTAAATTAAAACAATGGACCTGGTTGCAATAACCCTATATCCCCGCGTACGCTAACACAAAAGAGGCCAATTGCTTTATTATCGACTCCATATAGCGTCAAGTTATTCACCCATACTCCCATTATCCATTTTTATCGCGTCTTCACACACAATGGGAACTCTTCACGTGAATAATGGTGTAAGTGTACACGCTTGACAGAGCCGAGATATAAATCTTTCCATAATCGATGTTGGGCCGATGTTTATTTATTGCATAGATACGGGGGGCATATCGAAGTGTTTCTTTTTTCTATCTCTCTCGTTCCACCATCTCGATATTAACAATGGGGATGATTTATAACGGCCCCGCAGCAGGAATTCGCATGCGAGTGCTATTGTTGCGAGCACAATGTGGGGACGCGAAATTAAACGCTTCGCGGAACAGAACACGGAGACGGGAATGAGACCTCGCGGGACCTTTGTCTTTTGTCCGATCGCACGTTTTACTGCTGATGAATGTGCTTTTGAAATTATTGAATAAAGCCTACGACTAACTAACAGCGAGAGCTGTGCGTAGTCGAAGAAATTATACCTTGTCCGTTGCCAAATATTATAGATGATTCAATTTAATGATACTTTACGGGCGCGCAGTTTTGAATGGTCTATAGATTGTTTTCACTCACGAACGCCCTAATACGTATTTGTACCGAATATGAATAAGATAAAATTATCTTTTTTATCCAGTATTTATCCGATGCAAATTTACTCGCATGGTTAAATATTTTGTGTCTGTCGTTTAATTATGTTTCAACATAGTGGATGACATTAACCTACCCAGTGAAGTTGTTTCGTAATTTTTAATGTAGGTTTAAGTTTTTATATAATGTCGTTTTATGATTGACGTGTTTACAATCGTCCACATGTTCGTTTATATTGTTAATAAGACATTTTGCGAAATAAAAAATACGACAACCGCTTCAGACCTTCAAAGTAAATCTTCCCGGACAGACGAAACAGAAGTCGAAACAGAAGAAACCGAGCCGCCTGCAGAAGTATTCACAGAAGAGACCATCCCGGGCGTACCCGCCGTGAACGATTCATCTGTATTGTTTATACGTTATCTTACCCGTAAGTATTCTCACGAGTAACGCAATGATTCTTCTGTTTCAGAAACTGTTGCCAATACAGCTTCGTTCTTCTAAAAACGAAAAAAGCGGGGTGGTAGTTGATTTGTGTCCATTATTAAGGAAGCAGTTTTGTTCACTTCTTTGTGACAATTGTGATAACTTACGTTGTTAGGGCTCACGTTCGATTGCATATCCTGCCCTTATCCCACTTAGCTGAGATCGACCACGACATGTGAGTCATGTTGTAGGTAAATGGTTTTGGCTAGATTTTTTACGACCCTTCTTGGGAATTCTTCCGCCGTATAAAAATCTCCCAGAAAAAACTCAATAACTGTTTAAAAGATTACACGGCTAAACGAGAACTCAGTTTACGTATTTTGCCATTAAATTTTCGATTGTATGAATTAAATTTTTCAAATTACGCACCATCAGTTCCCCGAAAGCTAGAATTATAAATTGCACCACAGCACAATCGCACGTATGGAACCATCTGCAAAACTATTGGGCAGTGTAATGAAACGTCGGTTATTGAAATCGCACGGCTGGAGTGATGCTTATAATGATGGCCTTCACTGTCATTGGCCGAGTATAATTTTTGCTTCACGTGCGTAATTTGTTATTAACTTTTTTCTACGGTATTACCCGCCTTATATAGCTTTGCTGCGGTGTGTTTTTTTATATAAGAATGTGGCAAGCGAGCTGGCGGTTCACCTGATGATAATTGATAACCGCCGCCTATGGACATTTGTGACATTATTACGGTTGCAGATGCGTTGCACCTTTTATTACGTGGGTTCCGATTACCTCACTCGCCGGACGAAACGCAGAAGTAATCACATTTCCATTCCACGCAGGTATTCTGTGTGTGTGATTGTATGAATGGTCCAGCTCCATTTTTGCGTCACGACTGAGGAGTGAAGTATCCGAAAAGCTAGTCTTCCCCTGGCAGTAATCGTTTTGCGGATACCCATGAGCCTTGCCCCTCCACTTTAAAGATAAAACAGCAATGCACAAAAATGTCCACCCGGAAGAGTATTGAATCTCGCACAAAAAGTGTTACATCTGGCTGGATGTTCATGTTTTCGCTGAATCTTTCCAGTTGTTATTTCAACCCCCCGTTCTGACAATCCGTCGTTCTCATCGCGCCATCGACATAAAAGCGTACTCGGCAATTTCGACCCTTCGATTGCACCCCGCAAAATAGTCGAACGTGGCACACTGAATAATATATACACTACAATAATTGATGACAACATTTCACTGTGCCGCGTCGCGATTTCGCCGGCTAGACAGTTTTATCAGACGCAAACATAAAGCACCACCGACAATTCCTGCTCTCAGCCATTAATGTCGACGAGTGGACCAACGCATTTAGTACTTCTGAAGTATTGAAATTTCCAATCGGTCGATTGAGTGAATTGAATTGGTGCCGCTTTGGTACGTTCATTCCTTTTGCGTTGGTAAATGACGGGGTTTATGTTCGAGCACCAGTAACTTAAATACGGCGATCGTGATCCATCGTTGGGGGCTTTTCAATTATAGATTATTTTAATGTTGCTTTTATAAAATAGGAACGATAAAAACTCCAATATACATACGTTGACTGTAGCGGATGTTTGTAACATACCAAAGAAAGATTTTTCAGCCTCGCCTTAAAGCTTTCAACGAATGTATATCTTGCAATTTGTGTATTAAACGTACAGCGGGTCGTTAAGATTGCAATTGTATGTCACTTTCGCGTGATGTGGGAATTTTTTCCGCGCCCTTTCAAATAACGAGCATGCTCTAAATCGTCTCCGCGAAAGCAATTAATTTCCGTACACGGCCGTGTCTCGGCGCAGCGCGTAATTTAATCCGGCTTAGTTGGCGCAAACGGGATTGAATAAAAAAAACCGGGCAAGTGGGCTATATTTATTTGTATGCGTGCGTCGGCACGTACCGCGTTCGCTTCAATCCCGCGCACATACGAAACGTGACCATTCACATCCAGGTCCGTCGAGAAATAAGCATAATTCGTCGCGCGTACTCTTTCACATTTTTATTCTAAATTCGAAAGTTCTTTTTTCCAAATTCGAAAAATTCGCACTTTCCGGCCAGCTTTTGCGATATCGAAATGATCGCGATCCGACACGCAATCGTAAATCGAATGTGTGGTCATTAAGTGGCCGCACCCGAAAAGATTGCCATTGTTCATGTTCAGGCCAACGGGGGATAATTTGTACTGGGCCCACGTGTGACGCGTCGACCGCTATGAATTGTTTTCCCGGCTTATACCGACGTCAAAGCGGATGCCGCTGCTGTTTTTTTTTTTTTTTCGAGATATCTCTAATCCCGGCTGGGACCCGCCACGTTGTCCGCTCCATGAATATTTTAACTCCAATGTGACAGTCTCCGAATATACGTTACTCGAACTGGTACGAGCGTCCGTTTATTAATGTCGCATCGATCCGCGGATCCCCTCGGGGAGGGATCCGGTCACGTATGGACAAGTAAATGGGATTTCATTTTCTAGTTCAGAAATCAAACGCTCCCCGCGGCTCGTGTCCAATGTACCGCCGGGGGTTCCCCGGAGGCGTTTTTGTTCTGGATCGCCTGTTGGCTCAGCTCTTGGCGTGCGAGCTAAAATTACGCCAGTGCTTCCGCTGAGATAATTGTTTCACATTCGCCGTTTTGATGCGCATACGTTGAACAATATTCGCTGCGAGGAGGAAGAACAATATTTCGGTTAGTGTTTTTTTTTTTTTGGTCTGCGTTACTACGAATATTTTACGAACATGCGATCGTATTTCTAGGTTTATTATACTAACATGCCGGCGTTCCTTTGAGATTCGAACTTCACATAGTTTATTGATGTAACAATTATGCGTATGAATAAATTGTATTCGAAAAAATACACCCTCTATAGGACTGTAATTTATTCATGGCGGAAAGTTGGATAGTGGTCGGTCGAATAACTTCATCTACGAAGAGGGTCCGTGATGTTTATTTCATTCCAATGTTTTTGTATTCTGGTTGATTATGCTTCTTTAGTAATGGACACATCAAAATAACATCTTGCAACTTCGTCATTTAGCATCATTGTTGCTGTCTCCGGCGATCTATCGACGTGTTACCTCATGAGACATGCGTCTCCTACCTGCGTCTGTTGATATTGGAACTGTGAACTCATGTTGACTCTATTGTTTTTCGTGTGCGCAGATCCACCGGAAATCACTATCCGGCCGCGCAACCTGCAGGTGCGGGCGAACGGAATCGCCGCATTCTACTGCGCCGCCCGCGGCGACCCCATACCCAACATACAGTGGAGAAAGAACGGGAAACGCGTCTCCAGTAAGTGTCTCTCTCTCTTTCTCTTATCCTATTATTTTCTATTATTATCATTTCAATATACTCTAGCGACCTGAGTTCAAATGGCGGTGCCGGCACCAATGAAACTGTAAGTTGAAATGTTAAGTGACCAATGGTGCTCATGATCAATGGTGGAGTAAAACATCGCGAGGGAATCTTTATATTGTCGAAATAGTGATGAAATAAAAACTATTTCGAAGATATGTGTACTCTACCAATCAGTATTGGGGTCGACGTGCGGTTCACGTCGACCACGTCCACAACGCACGTGGACTATGTCCTCGACCGCACGTCGTTTTATATATATAACTATGTTTGTAGTAAGCACATTAGCAGTATGTGAATTTGTTGGTAATTGCACAAGATATTCGCCATCCTATTTTTTTAAGACAGAATTGGCCAACCACCCAGGTGGGCTCAGCACAACATAATGCAGCATGAATCATGTTGTTTGTGGTTTTGGCTAGGTCTTTTTACAACTAATGCAGCACAAAACAGCTGTCTGCCCGAAGTCATCCCTTCCTGTGTACAAACACCCAGATCCGTGGACAGCTATCTGTGGGGCTTACAAATACTTGTTCTGTTTGGGAATCGAACCTACGACCCCCGACGCTGAACCAATAGCCTAGCAGCTTCGTCACCGAGTCATCATCGTCTAAGTATTATATAAATGGTAGTGTGGTACATAATACAAAGGCATTCAGCGCACTGAAACTAAACGCGCCCGACAGTTACGTTAGGAGGCGGCGGCGTCCGCGCTTGCTTGCCATACCGCGCGCGCGCACTAACTTGCTGGCTAGGGCTCCATTCACACGTGCACTGCTCACCCTAAATGAGGTTGCCGACAGAATTGACCTGTTTTCATGCCACAGAAATGATTTTGTAATAGTATCCCATTACGTGATATGTTACTCGTAAAATTTGTGTATTACAGTCTTACTGGGTATAATTGGTTTTATGGAATTGTTATCTTTTATTTTTTATATTTTCTCTCGACTATTTTGTATTTTGGCAACACTATCGCATTGGGTCAGTCTGTAATGATAGTTGTGTGCGTAAGTGTAATAAATAAATAAATAAAAATTAACTCGTGTACACGATTTTAGGGTAAAAATAGGCAACAATAAAAGGGAAGATAAAGCTATTGGTTACGTGATATGTCCAGCGTATCCCTTAAAGCCACATCGACGATTGAGGGGTCGAATGCCCACCATACGAATTCTGGTGCGCGATTGAAACGGTCGACAGGCGACTATTCCCGCTCATAAATATCTCGCCCCGGTAATGGCGCCCATAAGCGAGCGGCCAATGGGCCGGAAAAAAACGGCCATCGCGCACGCGAAAAACGCCCTTACCACCCAGCGAATTCGGTCACATATCCTCCGCCGCGCGAACGGTCTTCTCGGACCGTGATGCCGTCGTGAAATATGCAATGGCGTCGATCATACGATCGGAGGGAGGCGCCCGTAAATGAGTAATGGTTCCCGATCAACGCGTCGATCTCATCTCATATTCCTATGTGTTTTATCTGACTTCGCACGCGACCAGGGCGATCACGCTTGCGTGCCCCACTGGGAGGGGTCCCAATTTCATGTTAAATTATGTCAAAACTTCCGTAAAACCCTTACCACTAATCCTACGGGGCTGGTTAAGATGAAACTTTTACAGACACCTCTTGTATATCACACGTTTATAATTACCAAATATGAGGAATGGATTTTATACATATAGATTAATAAAATCAACATATCATCAACAATCGTTTCCTGGAAATTACAAAATTCGGCAACTATATCTTCTGTTATAATGGTGTTTCTAAAGCACTCATCTTGCGGAATAATGTTAAAGATTTTCCACAAAACAATAATGTTTTTTTCGGAGAATTATTAACTCGCATGGCGCCTAATGAATTAAATTGAACCTTACATACAAATTAATCGAGGTGGGTGAGCTAAAAAGTGTCAAACTATTAGAGTATTCACACTCCCAAATTAGTAACTCATGTGATTATGATGCCCAAGAGAAATGAGCAGGTGTCATAATGAGCGCTTATTACTTATGACACGTAATCCTACCCCAAACAAATGTAAGCGCTTTTAAAAAATACGACGGGGCGACACTTGGGTGTGTTTTTCTTTGAAATTATACACTTCTTTTAAGAATGTGAATTTTTGTAGATAGTTTAGTGTTAGATTGACTACAGACTATCACAAAAAAATCATTTTTTTTTTTAATGTGAATATGGAAGCGAGCTGCCGATTCACCTGATGTTAAGCGATAACCGCCGCCCATTGACATAAGCAGCACCCATAGCGTTGCAGATGCGTCGCCACATTTTAATAAAGTAAGAGCCAGTTACGTCACTCACCGGACCAAACGTAGAAGTATTACGCTTCTACTTCACAAAGGTCTTCTGTGAGGCCGTGGTGCTCCCCCGGGCGGACCTGCCCATTCGTACAATAACGAAGACTATGGTGACGTGGCCCCATCACAATTAATAGGTTTATAATAGATTTTTTTTTTTTTTTTCAAAAATTGGTAAATTCATTATATATTCATCAGAAATGGTTCACACAAACTCAAATATTATGAGACGAAAAAATCTAAATGAAGACCGGCCGTGAGTTGCAAAGATTTGCGAAATATTTTTTCCCTGTAACTTTGCGACTCAGACAATTTCAAAGTTTTCAGAGTATTGAAAACTCGTCCCCTTTTTCTTTGTTCATAATATACAGCGCAAGCATATCCACAAGCGGAGATTGTTACGAATTGTTCAACTCGTGTCTAGTGCAATGTTTAAAATCAAAATTACTCTATTGTTTAAATTACCAAATTTTGTTTTATCATGAATTGAAAATTGTTTAACTGCTAGTAGGATAGCAGTTCTTCTCATCTAATCTGCCAGTGAACTGTGACTTGAATTAACAATTTTCTTTTTTTTTTTTTTTTTTTTTTTAATATTAATTATACTTTTCTTTTATTTAAGATGTCAATTGTGTATTTTGTTGCCAGTGTTGTTTATTGGGTGGATTAATTGGTTTATTATTATGAGGAGATATTCATTTGTTTTCTCGTCTGGTTGAATTTATAAATAAAAAATAAACACATATAATATGTGTTTATTTTTTATATATTATAATACTAATAAATAATAACTAATGCATACATAAAATAAATATTATGAATAAAAATATACATATAGAATAAAAATAAAATTACGTACTGTGCTGTTTTTCATTGAGCTGAACAATAAAGCACGCTCTGTTTGTCAAAGCGTCAGGTCTCCCCGTGGGCTGTTCGATCAGAAGTCGCGGTCTGGCGTGACGTCAAATCATGCGGTGTATGAGGGTATTTTAATGCTAACACAAAGGGGCATCGCGTTTCGCTTGTTAAAAACGGCTTTGTTGTCGTCTTTCATAATCTAATCCATACTAATATAATATTATAAATGCGAAAGTAACTCTGTCAGTCTGTCTCGCTTTCACGTCGAAACTACTGAAACGATTTAAATAAAATTTGGTACACAGTCTAGAGCCTGAGAAAGGACATACATAGGCTATTTTTAATTGGAAAAAGTGTTTTAAAGTTTTGAAAATATCTTTCTTTAAAATGTTAAATTATTATTTTATTATTAACTGTAAAGGCAAATGACGTGAGAACGAGACATTTTTTTTATTTTATTAATTAACTAGCTGCTGCCCGCGAGTACGTCTGCGTAAAATAGGCTGAAGGCGTAACATTATAATCGGAATCTCGGAAACGGCTCCAGCGATTTTCATGAAATTTTGTATGTGCGTATCGATCAGGTTTCATTTTTAGAAAATGTCCTTTTATCCCTGTTTTCAGTGAATGAAAAATATCATTCGAATATGACGTTAAATTTCGCCGAAAAAAAAACATGTTATAATAGCTCTTTTTGGCTTTGTTATTTTTTTCCCTTTCTTAAAGTTCTTTTTTTTTTGTGAAAAACACCAGTTCATATTTTCTTATTATTACGTGGGTAAGATCATTATCAAATATTATGCATTTTCATTGCTTGGTAATTTTTATTTAAATGTAATTTCCAAAATACATGATTTACCAAAAAAAAAGTCCTCCAGGTACTTATTTTAAAATTTCATTAAATCCATTAATTCAGTAGTGTTTGCGTGAAAGAGTAACAAACATCCATCCATACACATACAAACTTTCGCCGTTATAATATTAATAAGGATTAGTAAGGATTTATTTCCAATCGAATTCAAAAAAGGTGGAGGTTTTCAATATGAATGGATTGTTTTTAATGTTTATTACCTCAGAACTCAGTATAGCTCGTATGTGGGACCATTATTGTCATTGGTCATGGACTCCAGAGATACATTAAGGACTCCTCAAAACCAAACAAAAAATGTATAGTGAGATGTTTGAACTCGGTTTTGTTTTTTGTTAATAAAAATGTTATTTCTGGTGTGTATGATTATACCCATGCATACATGTTAATACATTTTTATGACCACTTAAAAGATGCTTACTTCGATAACATACTCTGCTTTATTCTTATTATCCACTATTATTCATGGTTAAATGAAATCGATGCGCTCCCGTTGATAATTACTAGAGAAACCCTGTAAAGATGTTGTGAAAGCTATAACAATAGCCCATTTGCATATTTTTCAATATACTTCTTAAGTTCCTTAATTAAGTCAACAATGTTCCATTAAAATTCATAAGACGCCTTATATAGAATAATAATGAAATTTAACGTAGTTTGCGTTGTTATTGGGTCGTAGAATCTTAGTAAAACTTAAATAGTTAAGTTATTTAAAAATCACCTACAGATATTTACTTAGTCAAAAGCTATTAACTTAGTTCATTGTGGCTTAGATTCAAAAAGAAGGTATTATACTATGTACGTAGACATTTGTGAAATATCTATCCAAATTCTGTAATCTCTGGCGACGGTATCAAATACAATTTGAGTTTTATCATCCGTTCTTCTTCATTAAGATGAATTTTGACCTTGCAATACTCGAATCAGTTTCAATTTTCTCATAGTGTAATTGTGATATCATCGAACGATTTCTTTAAACAAGTATATGTATCATAATTGCTTTATATAACTTAACTATTTTACTACTTAAACTATTTTTATATAATCAATCCCCTAACCGTGAATGCTGCAAAACATTCGAAACGTCGGGAATTGAATTAAAAATAACCGCGATAAATCGCTTGAAATAATTTCATTCTGTCAGGATATCTCTCAGGATATCTCAAATATTAAATAATTATGTAAATCTGAGGATGCTTTGCGTTTAGATCACCTATTCGAATACGACCAATAAGTTCTGAAATTGCCTTTGGCTTTCATGGAAAAGTGACTTTTCTCTTTTATAACCGGACTACGGTAGAGTTATCACGGACTTACTCGGTTACACATCGTGAATATCAAAAAAAGACTAAAGTTTTTAGTTAAGGCACACCCGGATGGGCCTGGCGATTGGTTCAACAGCTTTGTAATTTGTATTGGCGTAGCTGGACCTCCCAATTTTCATGTGTCCGTAATTAAATGTCCCGCGCGGGACACGCACGGTTCCGTATTTCGAGTATTTCTTGACGATGCGGCTAAGTACCTATTAAAGTCAGCTTTTGTTATTAGTATCAAAGTTATTACATATTTTTACTAAAAGAAAACTTAGTTTCTATCATCCTTATGATGATATTTTAATTTGAAACTGAAACTAACGTAATAGGATAAATGTAAACTACAGATTATTTTAGTTCATTTACTATGTCCGACTTTTACGAAATAGCCCCGCTTTTTTTAACGGTTTCAAAATCCCGGTTAGCCCGGAAAAAACGCTGATTTTAATTGTTATTTCTAAAATTATTTTACAAATATGCCCGGTATGACGCTGCTTTGTACCATAGTTATAAAGATCGCTTTTCTAATTGTTTACAAGCGTTTCGATTAATAAAATTATTATCATCCCTCAATTCTCTCAATTCCGTCCCTTTTTTGCCTATTTGTGAAATCTGCATAACCATTCGCACTCCTAAAGTTACTTTCGGGAACACGCGAAAAGAAATAAACATTGCAAGCAACTCTGCTCCGAGACGAACAACGCGACAGAAGGAGAGGCGCCATTATACTTTTAAATCCGGCCGGTAGCAGAAAGACAACGATTATTCTCACTTGTTGTGAAATACATTTCCTTGGCACTTACCACGAGTGGCGATTTAGCTCTGTCCCCGCGTAGCGATTCGCAATTCTCTAGTTTTCGCGCGAAGTTCATCTCTCGGTTGCCGCTGAGCCACTATAGACCTTGGTGCTTCGACATTAGAGCGACGCAGGCGGCAAAGGTACACGTGGCGTTGTCTTCCCGCCGCAATCTTGACTCGCTCGAAATGCAAAATGCAGGACCGTCCCCCTCTACTCCTCGCAAAGAACCTGCACAGTCGTTATGAGATTTTCAATGGACGTAATTTGTTTGAGAATAGTTTCGTTTACCATCGGAGATTCCTGTCTCCGATGGTAAACGAAACTATTCTCCGCCTGCTGAGACGTCTCAATTATGTTTTTGTTTGTTGGTTTGGGATTAGACATACAAACAAACAAACAGATTTAACTTCTGTAGGAAGGCGAAACAATAATCGACCGCTTAGCTTAGTGGCTAGGGCGCCTGGACGCGTAATTTGGAAGGCACATGTTCGAATTCTGAGAGCAACATAAAATTTTCGATTGTTTTATGAACGCATTCTTACTTTCTTCAAGTTATGCTCAAGCAAATGACATCAAGCATTTTACATTTTTTTTTTCCTAGTAAACATCACCGGCACTGTCACCAAAACCACTTACGTTATTTAGGAAGCGAATGAATACTAGTAAGGTTGCGGACATTCCAAATACGCTTTAGATTTTTTTAACAACGGTAGATTTAAAACGATGACTCCGTGGCGCTTTTGCCAAGACGAAACGCAGAAGTATAACACTTCCACTTCACACCACTCTTCTATGAGGTCGTGATACTTACGTCGTTACGTCGTTACGTGGCCCTATCACGGTTGAGGCATTATTTGCTAAATATTATATATATTTACTTAATTAAAAAAATGATATATATATTTACTAATTATTTATTTAATCTAATCTAAATATTTAATTATTTCTTTAAAAATCTAATTATTTTTTTAATATACAAATATACTGTATAATTTTAACCCTAGATCTCTTGAGATTCACATTTCTAGTCGAAGTCCTTTCAGTTGGACCATTTATTTGTTCATGTCAACAATATATCTGTCACCACCAGGCATGCAGTCGAGGTACCAGGTGTCGGGCATGGACGCGGCGGCCGGCCCAGGGGCCAACGGTGCGGTGTTGAGAATCGAACCCGTGAGAGCGCAGCGCGATGACGCCACGTACGAGTGCATGGCCGAGAACGGTGTGGGCGATGCCGTGACGGCGGTCGCCACCCTTACAGTGTTCGAAGGTAAGGGGTATAGCTTAGATGTGCGTTGTTCGCGCTCTTTTTTGGGAAAATTAAAACGAGGCATTTGCCCAAAATTGATTTAGTTACGGGCCATACATGCAGTTATTCATCTCTAGATAACATATATGATTGATTCAATGTTATATCCTTTTTAGCCTGACGTATAATAGTGGGCCGATAGTAAATAAAACGATGGCTTTCGCTGTGTTTAAGGCAATGATGTTGGCGTTTGTAGTGTATACATACATATCAAATATTGCTGGAATATAGTAGCTTTATTTCACTTTTTCGCTATGTCAGGGATGCAGCGAAGAGTGTATTATTTTATATTTAACCCCAACGTTGTTACTTTAAGTTTGGCATAATCGACATTTGTATTCATCAATGTTCTGTGACAATTCTTAATCACCGTTCGGTAATGGTAAAAGCTTTTTAACTAAGCCATGTGGATATTTTAATGAAATATAATAAAATTCGAATAGCGTAAAATAACTTTGAGAACCCACTTTTCATCTATCGATAACACACCTAATAGAATCGTCATTTAGTGTAGGTACTCTTAAAAATAGTCTTCAAAATAGCGAAAATGTCAAATTCTAATAGCCTCACAATTCTTGTATACCTTAAAGTAATTTATTTATTAGCGATCTCTTTATAATAACGTAACACATAAACGGTTAAATCTCGACCGCCCCAATTTATTATAGAAATCTTAGAGCGGAAAAAAATCCTCAAATAAGAGTAATATAGCTAAGGATCTGCGAGTTATCATTCCCGGGGATCAGACGGCAACCGCCGTAACTCTCCCCTCGGCTTTGTTTCCGCGAGGGATGAGAAAAGAAATAATGGCCGGTAGAGTTCGTATTTCGCGGCGTTCCGAGCGAGACGGCGCCGAACGAAAATATTACGAAGATCAGATAGCGATACGTGACCGACATGCAGACGAGCGGCGGACTCTAGCGCCGCTAACTCTTTACGGACGCTCGACTTTCTCGGCTATTGTGCCAAGATGCTCATATCGTTGCGAAAAGTCAACGGAACAATCGGAGAAATCACCAGGAGCGTTCACGCCGCAGATTGGATCTTTATTTGAAGTGAACTATTTGAAATCGTTCGCTCTTCGTGTTTACGGTGGAGTACTGAAATGGTGTAAGATTCAGTATTTCGCGTGTTATGTTATGTGTTCAAACTTATTCATCAAACATCGTCATGGATAGGACTAGACACCTGAATAAGATTAAATATATTGATGCCAAACTGCAATGGGGCCCCCATATTAATAGACTGGCGAGTAGACTTAGCTCAGCAGCTTTCGCGGTCAAAAAAATAAGACAGTTAACTGATGTTGATACGGCTCGCTTGGTATATTTTAGTTATTTTTCACAGTATAATGTCTTATGGCATTCTGCTTTGGGGTAACGCAGCCGACATTAATACAATCTTTATCTTACAAAAGAGAGCTATTCGTGCAGTTTACAATCTGGGCCCCAAAGAATCGTTAAGAAACTTGTTTAAAGAGATAAAGGTATTGACTGTTGCTGCTCAATACATTTTTGAAAATGTTTTGTATGTCCATAAAAATAAGGATAAATTTTTAAGACATAATAATGTTCATGATATAAATACTAGGAACAAAAATAAATTGATCCTACCCACAAGTAGACTCCGTAAAATAAGTAAATCTTTTATGGGACAATGTATACGTTATTACAACAAAATTCCAGAAAACGTTCAAAATGCATCAATAGCTAAATTTAAAAAAATAGTAAAAGAACGTTTGTGTGTTAAAGGCTACTATAATATTAATGATTATTTAAATGATAACACACTCTGCTAATGAACTGATCGCTCCAGGCTCTTTCAATCGGAGTTCTTATATTGTATTTTAACGAATTTATGTCAAACTGCTTATTTAAAAAAAAAAAAAAAAAAGCCCGCTGAGTTTCTTTCGCCGGTTCTTCTCAGTACAGTGGCTTTCTTTTCCGAACCGGTGGTAGTGTTTTGACTATCAATAAGTGAGTGTAATGCTCCTATGTTGAATAAATACATTTGATTTTGATTTTGATTTGATTTTGATATCCTAAAAGATATGTTTTTTAAAAACGAAAATTTTAATAGGGCTTTACTGGATTTAATAATGCTTACTCATGTCCAATTTTTTTATGTAAGAAGATAGCAAGCGAGGTGACGGTTCACCTCATGTTAAGTGATAGGCAACGCCCATCGACATTTGCAACACACGTAGAATTATAGATGCATCACTCACCAGACGAAACGTAGAAGTGGTCGTGGTACTTCCCCGGACGGACCTGCCCATTCGTCCACCGGCTAAGACTGTTCCGTGGGCAACTTTTTTATAGTGGCGTGTCATTATTAATACTTCACCACTTCACTTCATCACACTTCGCATCGCTGAAGAGTCGAACAAACACTCAAATTGCGTACTTAAACTGCGCCGGATGGTCACCGATTGGATGATGGCGTTGTGCCGGAAGCGTCATCGGCGTCACAAAACCCGGCGCGCAATTCCATCTAGGCGACCCCAATGGCCCATCGTCGCATAAAACGAGACGAACGCGTATTACCGAAAATAGCTGGACCACACGCCTGCGTGGCCTCCAATAAATAGCTATTAAGCCCGTCCGACCACCCTCAGAGGACACGCGACCGAATGCGATATCCCGTCTAGAATATGATACTGTTAAACCAATCGCCATCTAACATTTCGTACTATCGTAACAAATGCGAAGTTTTTTATGTACATTTGGCTACTGGAGACATGAGTATTATGGAGATAATATCAAATACTTAACATTACTAACAAAATCTACAGATAGATAGAATATTGAAATGGGCCGATAGTGAATCACGCTATTTACGCGAATCTGATTCCTTTCGTACTTACCCTAATGAAAAGAATTTACATCGCTTAATTCGAATTTTAATGTTCTGAATTAATAGATCAGTCATGAGAATTTTTTTATATGCTTCCCTTTATTCACAATAATTTTTGAATAAACTATTGCGTGCTATTGAGTGTTGTATAAACAAAGTAAAAATAAATGTATAAATAAATTTTAGTGTCGTCATAAACGTGTTATGTCGTCATTTCTTTGTTAGCCGACTTCAAAAAGGAGGAGGTTTCTCAATTCGACCGTATATATATATTTTTTTTTTATGTGTGTTCGCGGATTACTTCATGGTTTATGAACTGATTTTGATGATTCTTTATTTAAATTTTAAAGTTTTTTATAGTGCTAATCTCTGCACTTAAGATTGATACAACTAATATAAAGGATATAACAATAGATGCGCCAAGCACTGCTTCAAATGCTAAATAAAAATGTAGAAAGGAGGCGTTACGATTTTCGGCGCTGTGGCTATCAGCCGTTTAGCTCAGTGGCTAGAGCGTCAGGCCGCGAATGCAGAAGACGTGGGTTCGATTCCCACAGCGGTGACAATCTTTTAATGATGGCATCCAAGAGAAATCGAGGGCAATCCTCACATGTTATAAGTATCAACAAAGTGTTTATTCTTATTTTAGACACATTATACGTGGTTTGTATCGCCTTTAGAAAAATGAGACAAATTGTTTGTGCTTAAAGGAACAATAAAATATGGAACAATATAATGAAATATAATGAAATATAATTAACAATATGGTTTAACATATTTCAGTATTTTTTCAATAACTTTATAATATACCTCTATTTATCTTGTCTGGTAGTTCTTTAAAGCAAAGTTTTTTTATTCACACATTTTGGTGTTTGCATAGTTTTATTTTTTAGAAATCTCCGAATTTATATTCTTGTCTATAAATTAGTGTTGCCATAGCTCAGTATTCGAGCGCTCGTATTTAATTTAAAAGCCTCGCAACCTAAGAGTATACCCAGATGCTACCAAAGAAATTTTTAATTTCATTTAATTTAATTTTAAGTTCTAAATCATCTTGTATTCAGTGATGAAAGAGTTAACGGGTATATATATAACGGGTAGTGCATGTATACCTCACGGGTACCGAGGATACATGCATTTCTTGTTTAGTACTTCTAATATAATTGAAATAATAAACAAGAAATGCATGTATATATTTCGAAGGTATCCGCAGTGGGGTCGCGTGATGGACTCTTCCTGAACACTTGAGAGAGTACGTATAAAAAAAGCTTTGGTTTGCTTTTATCAATTTAGTTTTTATCAAAATGTAATAACTCGGGATGCAGAATCGTCTATTATTCAAAAAGAATCTAAATTTCAAAAAGCATTTTCCCAATACCATGTTTTTGACTTCACAAGATTTTCGTATTAAAACTTCAGTTCATGATAGAATATATATAACTTTAAAATATGCTTATTGATTCATCAGCACACTCTATTTTTCAGCTCTGTTGCACGACTAGTCAAAGCGAACGCTTGTTCAAAGTCAATAATGGCAATAACAATGAATCGAAAACACCGAACTCCAATAGTTCGATGAACAGCATAATTTATTGTTCCGTTCGCTTTATAGTTTAGCAACAAGTTATTCAATGCTAACCACGCCCGCCTGCATGTGAGTCGCAGTACAAAGTTGCTCTGTGTACCTAGCGCTTATGTCTGTTATTTTCGTACCGCATTTCCGTTAAACTTCGCCCGCTGTGCATCAATAACTAGTCGAGTTTTGTTTGCCTCTTGTGTCTGTTTCATAACAGCATTTGATTATTCATATTAGGTAAACGTGATTTCCAAATAATTCATATTGATGTTCATATGTAGTTTATAGTGGAATTAAAAGTACAACTTTGTTTAGAACATCTTCAGATTTCTGTATAGGATAGCATACTGCATCTTTACAAACGTGTCTGTTTACAATTGACAACAAATAAATACTTCGGTTTTTCTGGAAAAAATCGTGCATTTTGATAATTCGTGTAGATTATATTTGATGCGAGATGAACTTAATTCCAAACCCTTACACATGCAGAATCTCAAAGTTGAAGTAATTTATGTTCCTTCAGAAAAGTATGTTAAGAGTAAATTCAAAACAACAAGCAACAGGTCCACATAATTGACACGCGTTCCACGAAGTAGTTGAAATAAATCACCGTTTCTATGAGAAAGCTTTCGATGATATGAAAAAGGTCCCGTTTTCAAAATCCGATATCTGCGCAACATACACATTTCAAGGACACAATCAACATGGATAATATTAAAATCATGATACCCATAAAGGGTCCCGTAGTAGGCTCGCCTAGATAAACCGCAGTTCACATTTTCACCGGCGTGGGTTATCCGGTGGCACGAAGCCGAGCCGTCTTCTCGCCGTAAAATCAATGGCTCGAGTGGGTCCGGGCAGTGCTTTCGCAAATACCCGACGCGCGGTTCGATCGGGGACCCTCAATAACGACCCCCCCACCGCATAAAACAAGCCGAGCGCCGACACAATGATCCCGAAAATAACTCGACCGCTCGCCAAGACGCGAGCCTTTCAATAAATAAGCATTAGAGCGGCGCACGCTCAGTCGATAACGAGCGTCTCTAAATTGCGTCTAACGCCCGGAGACAAGATACAACGACAATTTGGACCGTAAACGAGTGGGAATTATTACGTGACGGCCCCGGTGGTCGGTCGGTGCCGAGTCGCGTCGCGTCGCCGACGTTAATTGACCGAATCGCGATAATTGGTATCATATTTCAACTCGGCCACTGAGAGCGATTAACTCCTTTGTATAAATTTGCCACAATTACGACGAATTATATCGCAGAGCGCGGAATGAATGCTACTATTACAGAGCTCAACAAATTATTCCTGTTTGACTTTTACGAATGAAATTACTTTCACAAAGATTTAAAGACACGATTGAAGCTATAAAACATGTCCGTAGTGATGATTATTTAAAATAGGTACATGTTATTTTATCGTAGAATATTATCCTTTTCAAGTTTAATTTAATGTATTTGTGTAAATAAAAGCTGTCTTTTTCTTGTACGATATACTTTTCATCCTCTTTTGCAAGAAAACTGCCAGCCAACGGTTTAAACGTAATTGTGGGAAGTCACAAAAGAAGCTTCGTAAACGAGTTGTACGTGATGTATTGCGAGCCATTGTTGTCCCGAAGAAGTTACGAAAGGAAACAAATAATAGCGGTCCGAGGATAGCGCCCGGCGGGACTCCAGTTACACTTTAAAAATACCGTAATGAAGGATCATTACGTACAAAAAGAATGAATTTCTATTTTTTACAATTTCATAAATATCAGTTTTCGATTATATTATGTACTGTGCAACTTTACAATTAATAGTCGCGGGACTGAAAGCGCAAACATCAGTTCATACAAAATACAAGATATTTTACAATACTATGTTAGTTTTACTACGAACTCACACAGTAAAGAACTAGTTAATATAGAAAGTAATGAACTAGTTTTGCAAATTTAAAGTAACGTGAATAATTGGAGATTTTTAGCGCTATACTCAGTAGTGGGGACCTTTAGAAGTTTATTATGATACCTATTTTTATTTCCGATGAAATTGAAAATAGTGATGGCAGCCCCCGACGGATATATAGATTTTTATAAAGTTTATAGCTGTGTTTATACCTGGAGCACCGAGCTTTGCTCGGTTTGTTTTTTTTTTTTGGTAAATCATGTATTTTGGAAATTACATTTAGATACATATTACTGAATAATGAAATATACATAATATTTTTCGATCTTACCGACGTAATAATAAGAAAATATGAACTGGTGTTTTTCACAAAAGAAAGGGAAAGATATAACAAAATCAATCATCTGGATAGACAAAAAATAAAAAATAAAGAAAGTGTGTAAGTGTAAGTGTGAATAATTGGTCGTGACACAAACCACGACCTTCTGTTTCCGTCGTATTCGAATGATATTTTTCATTCCCTGAAAACTGGGATAAAACGACATTTCCGAATCTACGCAGATACTAAATTTCAAAAAAATCGCTGGAGCCGTTTCCGAGATTCCGATTATATATATATATATATATATATATATATATATATATATATATATATATATATATATATATATATAGTATCAGAGGGTTTTCGGTCGGTGTCCTCGGACATAATGTGGGCAGACGTAGGTATCGCGCAATGAGAGAAGAGTACAAATAAACAAATCAACACGGTATGGTAACACTGACGAAACGAAGGACAGTTCCGTGACACGTCTTCACTTGTCGGCGTCCACCAAAAAGTGTCGCCTCACGACTCTGTCGAAGCGCACCGGCCCCGTAGTTGCGTGATTTCGCCGCTAGGGGCGCGCTTGCGTTCCGTTTAGCGACCGTACTCATGACCGGATACGACACGGCCATCCTGCATGACACACGCCCTCGTGTGTTAATCTGAAAAAGGAAACTCCAGCACAATTTCCGTTCGACCATCCTATTTCCTAAGAATTTTCTGCTAGAAATAATAGTTGTGATCTACTTTAGATGGTTAATTAATCACTCAAATATTAGGGGACCATTTTTTTTTACTATCACTATACATTTTAAATCAGATTAAACTAGACACACAAATTGCAATCAAACCATTTCAGATCTTGTTCCAAAGACTACCAAGACCCCGTACTATTGAGTCGCATTTAAAATTTTCAAAAGATAATTTTAACAGATTTTAAATTTACTACTATCGCAAACTGGTATCGCATTCGTGGTCCATAACTATCATAATAGTTTCAACGCTTTTCTGTGGACTTCCACGCGGGAATCCCGAGTCACACTATGACTCTATGATCTATGCTACATGGCAAGATCCGACTGTACTACCCAGTACTACCGCCTACCGCTTACCCACGGACATCTCAACGAGATGACCCCGATTTCTACCAGGCTACGGCTACGATATACTGGTACAGTCTCCGACCCCCGAATCGATCACCAGATAAAGTAATTAACTTGACGCTTTATCGTCATCTATATCATCTTCCTCTACAACCTCAATAGGTACGTGGCCCTCAGGCATCTTCCTAATACGATCGTGAGCATACTTGTAGGTACGCTTATTAACCAATGACTTCAAAACATATCGGTCTCCATCAAGAACTTCTGTAATTTGGAACGGACCCCTAAACTTTACATCTAACTTGGTTTGATTACGTTCCTCATTCTCAATTAAAACGTATTCTCCAACCGATAATCTATTCACTACCGCTTTATTCATATCAAAACGTGCTTTGTTGTAACCTGCGGATGCCTGTATGCCTTCAGACGCAGATTGCCTAATTTTAATAAGGTCTATGACGTCCTCGTTATCATTGACAATCAAATCTAGTGGACGAGCTACCTTCCCTATTAAAAGCTCTAATGGACTAGATTTTGTGACACGATTGACAGTACAATTTAAAGCAAGTTGCACGTCACCAAGGGCGTCCTGCCACGACCTATCCTTGCTAGTTTCTACTGCCGTTAACATAGATTTTAACACACTCATTATGCGCTCAACCTGTCCATTAGCGCGACTTGTTCCTGTAGCAATAAGGTGTAGTTTGATATTCTTACTATCACAGAAGTCTTGGAACTCCTTACTAGCAAAACAGCGACCCTGATCTGCGATGATGCGTACAGGAGCGCCAAATAATGCTACGCTATCCTTCACTGCCTTGATGCTGCACTTGGTGTCTATATTTTTAGTATGAAAAAGCACTACATACTTGGTGAACGCATCAATCATAACGAAAACGTATTCTTTGCTGTCGCTCTTTCCGCTCAATTTTCCGGTAGCATCGATGTGTACTGTGTGCCATGGTATTGCGGCTTTCGGGATAGGATGAAGCTCGGCATGTATCTTACCAGAATGGGGTTTTGCTACTTTGCAGGTCACACAGTTGTCCACAAACTTTCTTACATATCGACTCATACTCTCGAACCAGTAATGATCATATAGCTTCTCCAATGTTTTATTCATAAAAATTTATTATTATTATTATATTGTGGGGGTATTTATTTGTTATCTCGTCTGGTTGGGTTCGGGGATAAATAATAAACACATAAATATATATTGCATCTATAAAATAAATATTATGAATAAAAATAAATATTATATATAATACATAAATAAATAGGACCCAACCAGACGGAAGCCCTCGGCAGGGGAGACCAAACGGCCGAGGGTTAGGGTGAGAGGGAGAGAAACCGGCGGACAATGCGGGTGGTATCGAGGAGCACTGCCTTCTGCATTTGAGCTTGGAGCGTTCCGTCCCGGAGTCCCAGTCGCCTCAGATGTTCGGAGAGGCTGACTGGGATTAACCCATTCGCAGACACGACTATTGGGATAATTTCGGTCGGCACACCACCCCACATGTCGGTCACCTCGTGAGCCAGGTCCAGATACTTCGTCTTCTTATCTGTTTCGGCTTTCACGAGGTTCTCGTCATATGTCGACCAAAAATACCCGCGACTGTGCCCGGTCCATCACCACGATGTCAGGTTTGTTCGCGACAATCGTCCTGTCCGTGATGATGGGCCGGTCCCAATAGAGCCTTGCGCGGTCATTTTCGAGCACGGCCTCCGGAGAGTACTTGTAGTACGGCAGTTTCCGTTCCACGAGTCCGTATTTCAGAGCGAGCTCGTGATGAGCAGGTTGTGTCTATGCAGATACTCAGAGTTAGAAAGCATGGAACAACCGGAGATAACATGCCGTAGCGACTCCCCGGGATGGCGACAAGCTCGACAGATGTCGATGGTGCCATCCCTTAGGATGTATCTCCGATAGTTATTCGTCTTAATAACCTGATCCTGTATCGCACAGACAAAACCTTCGGTTTCCCCAAAGAGGTCACCGAAACGTAGCCAGTTAAGGGAGGCAACGGTATCTACGAAAGGCTCGTGTAGAGCCTTGTAGAACCTCCCGTGGAGCTCTTTCTCCTTCCATACGGTCTCTCGGTCGGAAACGCTCAGTACTCCCGGGTCCTGCCATTGCTCGTTGGCTAGGGATAGAGGGGTAAGTCCTTTATCACAACTAATAACGTCCGTGTAGATTGATTCATCCGATCTCGCCAGAAAGTAGTTACGGAGGCTGCACCCCTCGCGATTGTGCATGGTGAGGGCGCTTAAAAAGCCCCTCCCGCCATGCTTCCGCGGCAGGTACAGCCTCATCACTGACGATCTCGGATGATGCATTCTGTGGGACGTCATAGTTGTGCGGACTTTTCGATCCAGGGCGTTGAGCTTAGTTTGAGTCCACCTGAGTATGCCAAAGGTATACATGAGGACTGGCATGACCCAGCCGTTAAATGCGCGTGCCTTGTTCACGCCTGACAAATGGCTGTTAAATACCTTTGTCAGGCGTGCAAAAAACACGTCACGAACTGACTGTTTCACGCCAGCCTCATCGATACACATGTTTTGTGACATACCCAGGTATCGGTATGTTTCAGCCTCAGAGAGGGTCCTTATGTTAACGGGCATAGATAGGTCTATGCCCTCCGTATTAGCGACCTTACCCCTTTTGACATGGAGGATCGCGCACTTATCCGTCCCAAGCTCCATTTTGATAGAATTGTTGAAGTCACAAGTGACTTTAAGCAATTCCATCAAATGGGAGCGATTGGAGGCGAATAATTTGAGGTCATCCATGTAGAAAAGGTGGGTCACTTTTGTCCCTCCTCTCCGAAGCTGAAATCCTCCCCCCGAGCCCTCCAGTAACACGCTGAGAGGATTCAGGGAGAGGCAAAACCATATTGGACTCAAACAGTCGCCCTGGAAAATACCCCGTCGTATCCTTATCCGGTATTCCGCAGCCGTCATCCGCTCGCCTAGATGACAAAGGATCGTACTCCATTGCCCCATACAGTGTCCGAGGAAGTCTCTTACCGTACAGTCTACTTTGTACAGTTCGAGGACCCTCTTTAGCCATGTATGGGGCACCGAGTCGAACGCCTTTCTGTAGTCTATCCAGGCGGCGGAGAAGTTCCGACGGTTGCGTATAACCATTTTGCCAATGACCGCGTCGATGAGAAGTGGTTCCTTGGTTCCACGACCACCGCCCCGACATCCATTCTGAGCACGAGACATAATCCGATTCATATTAATATGCCGGGTGATTCTCATGCTCAGAATAGATGTCAGTGTCTTATAGATTGTAGGTAGACACGTTATGGGGCGGTACTTACTCGGGTCTGTGGTAACCTGATCTTTAGGAACCAAATGAGTGACCCCAGTAGTAAAGAGGCTCGGGAGCGACCTCTGATCGAGAGCCTCTTGGAACTGTCGGGGGAGCACAGCATGACACACCACGAACCCCTTCAGCCAGTAGTGATGCAGCCCGTCGAGTCCTGGACTTTTCCAGTTCGGGGCTCTACGGACTGCCTCAGATACGTCGTCGGGTGTTACGATGACGGAGTCCATGGGTGTAATGTCTGCACATTGGCTCGCCACGACTTGTGTCCAAGGGCCCTCGCTGTGGTCTACGGGCTCTGACCACAGGCTGCGCCAGAAGGCGACAGTGTCTGCCTGGTCCGGTCCTTGGCCCGTTCCACAGCTCATTGGTCGCTCCAAAGATTTGTAGAGCCTCTTTTGGTCACTCTGGAAGAGGCGATTCTGGCTAAACCGCGCCGTCCTCTCGGTATATCTCCGAATCCGCTTCCCCCAAGCAGCGATCCTCTGCTTCAGGTCATCTATGCGCTCCGTTAGTTTTTGCGTAATATCCGGCTGGGACAAGTTGATGTTGGTCCCAGCGAACGCCATCCTAACGGTGCGCATATATTTATTATTAATGTTTATTATTTCAAAGTTTATTATGATTATTATTATTAATGTTTTATTCCATCCAAGGTGGACTAGAGAATCATGGAAGTTGTTAACAACTGACCATCGCATAGCTCGAGGAACCATGGGTAAACATTTCGTTCTGCCATTTCGTTGTACTTTTCGATAAACTATGCCGGATCTTACCTCATATGTTTTAGCGACGTCGTCATTGAGCTGTCCTAGGTCTAGGTCAGAAATAATCTTCTTAATACCCTCGTCTCTCTGCTGCTCTGCAAGAAGCCAATTATCAGAAAGTTCCGCCACGTTCACACATTTCTGTTCCAATTTCTTAATGCGTGGTTTTGTTGAGCCAGGTGGCAACAGGTTACGAGAAAAGAAATCAGCATGCGCCATTTGCTTGCCTACTGTATATTTGATGTCAAAATCAAAAGACTGCAAAAAGGTCCACCAGCGATGAACCCTCGGCGCCAAATCAATTTTGGTGCGGGACATCTTCAGAGAATTACAGTCGGTTAGGACTGTGAATTTCAAACCATGCAGGTACTGCCTAAAGTGTCTTACCGCATTGACGACGGCGAGTGTCTCCAACTCGTACTAGTGGT